CTTGTTAAAATTTCAGATACTGACTCAGCAGTTCCAGAGTGGGCCCGAGATTCTACATTTCTAGCAAGGTCCCAGGTGATGTTCTGCTATTACCCTGGGAATATAATTTGAATCGTACTGTTTTAAACCTCTTCCATCAGTGGTATATGAGAGTATACCCATGAGAGTTGGCTACGGGAGATCTTTGGTCAATTACTCCAGCAACTTGGAAGTGGAAGAGATGAAATGCTGGCTTGTTTGAGGGGGGAGACAATTTTGCTCATTCAGAAATTGAAGGAGCTGGGGCGTAGGAGACTGTTAAAGTTGGATGGGTTGATCACAAGGAGTTTTATGTGCCACTAACATCAGGTTGTTCAAGACTGAAGAGGTAAGGACTTTTGAAGTGGTACTCAGGTTCCTGCTTCTTAACTGAAAGTGCGATAAGATCAGATTCGTTAGGAAACAATTTTCAAAACAGACTCATTTATTTTGACTAAATCAGGCTGAATGATAGTAGAGAGATAGATTCATTGTATCTTTTAGAAAACCATTGTTTGAGAAAGTAGAAAACCAGTTGCCTATGATTTTGCTTGCCTCGTTGCTGAGATTTTAAATAATTAATTTCCAGAACACCTTTAATGATACTGAATTATTGCCATTAATCGCTTTCCATAGGGAAAATGGAACTAAATAAAGGCCTATGCTATTTCCCTGCTCCTACCTCCATTTTCCTTTTTTTTTTTTTCTTTTTTGGTGGCTTGAGGGGTCTTAGTTCCCCCACCAGGGATTGAATCCAGGCCCCTGCAGTGAAAGCAGTAAGTCCTAGTCACTGGACTGCCAGGGAATTCCCTGCTGTGTAACTTTAAGAAAACCGCTTAAAGCTTTATGTTTGGAGTTCTCATAGTGAAAAATGGAAATCGAAGTGCTTGCCTTGTTCCCTGTAGAGTACTTACTGAAATCAGTGGATTTTGAGGTACATTTCAATTGATTAAAAAATCAAAAGGCTTTACAATGTAATCTTTTATTTTTATTTAGCATATTATATGTGCTAAATAGTATATTATATGCATATATCAAGCTATTTTATATATGATGTAAATATTCTGGCAAATCTTTATAACAAAAATGAAACATTTCCTGTAATCACAGCAGCAAATTAAATTGACCCTTTTTTGGATTTCACAAATTGAATGAACCTGACTAAAGTGTTTTAGACCTAATTTTTTTTATCCCTTAGGTAATAGTACTCTTGGATATTGATTAAAAACACAGTAATTTAATCCACATATTTAAAGACTTTTAGTTCTATAAGCGATTAATGATAAGTGAGGTCAATTACTCCAGGTTGACCCTGTTTGAGATACTTTAGATTCTTTAGGTTCTTTTAGATTTAAACACATTTATTTTTACCAGAGTTTAACATGTATTCTAATCAAAGATATATTTTGACCCAAACTTGTGCCAAAGAATAGCAATCAGAAAATGTCTGAAATAAAACTGTGAATATTCAGATTCATAATTTGAAATGATTCAGCATAAAGTTTATTGTACTTTTCTAGGAAGCAAAGGTTTGTGAGGCAAATTAAATAGCAGTACCATATATACTGGGGCTTCCCTGATAGCTTAGATGATAAAGAATTCGCCTGCAATGCAGATGACCCAGGTTTGATCCCTGGGTTTGGAAGATCCCCTGGAGAAGGGAATGGCTACCCACTGCAGTATTCTTGTCTGGAGGATCCCATGGACCGAGGGGCCTGGCGGGCTATAGTTCATGGGTCGCAAAGAGTCAGACACGACTGAGTGACTAAGCATGCACGCATACACTATATATGCTAAAATATAGTAAATAAGCTATATCCATTACAGGGTGGGAATCAAAAGCCAGGGCTCTAGAGTCAAAGAGGTCTGATTTAAAGCCCCAAAGAGGTCTGATTTAAAGTGCTTGATTTGTAGTGTGGCTTTGGTTACTTAACTTTTCAAAGTTTCAGTTTCCTCATCTATAAAATCAGTTTCACAATATAAAGCTCATAGGATTACTGTGGGGCCCAAAAGAGATAACGCATGTGCTGTGGGCTGAATTATGTCCTTGTCAAACTCCTATGTTGAAGTTTTAACTCCCAGTGTGGATGTACTTGGAGATAGGGCCTTTAGGAGGCAATTTAGGTTAAACGAGATCGTGAGGGTGTGGCTCTAATTTAATGCGTCTTGGCCTTATAAGAAGAGAGACAGCACCCTCTCTCAATGAATGCACACAAAGAAAAGGTCGTGTGAGTGCACAGTAAGAAGGTGGTTGTCTACCAGGCCAGAAAAAAGGGCTTGGAATGAAACCTATGTTGCTGGCACCTTGATCTTGTACTTCCAGCCTCCAAAACTATGAGAAAGTAAATTTCTTTGGTTTAAGCCACCCAGTCTATGGCATTTTGTTATGACACCCCAAGCAGACTAGTACAGATTTTGGTACTGAGAAGTCTAGTGGTGTTGTAACAAACACCTAAAAATGTGGAAGTGGCTTTGGAGCTGAATCATGGGTAGAGACTAGAGTAGTTTGGAGATGCATGCTAGAAAAAACCTACATTGCTGTGAACACAGTGTTGGTAGAATGATGGATGTTAAAGGTTATTCTGATGAGGTCTCAGGTGAAAATGAGAAATGTGTTGTTAGAAACTAAAGGAAAAGCCATCCTGACTATAAATGGCAAAGATCTTGGCTGAACTGTGTTCTAATGTTTTGTGGGAGGTAGAGCCTGAAAATTGGATATTTAGCTGTGGAGATCTCTAAGCAAGGTGTTGAAAGAATACCTTGGTTCCTCATGACTACTTATGATAAAATGCAAAAGGAGAAAGATGAAGCAAAGAAGGAGTTGTTAAGCAAAAAGAAACCAGAATTGAAAGATTTGGAAAATTCTCAGCCCACTCATATGGCAAAAAATGAGGAAGCTTGGTCTGGAGAGAACACCAAGGGAGTGGCTGGACAATTGCTTCTTAAGTAGATTACCCACGATGTTAACTAGTCATCTCAGCAGAAGCTGGGAATAGAGTTTGGACCAAAGCATCAGTGACACTGTCAGTTTGGACCAAAGGGAACATGATAGGGTAGCAGAGCAATTTGGCTGCAAAAATGCATTATCTTTCAAGAAAATGGAATGATGATCTTGAAAGCGTTTCAGAGATCATCAGGGCTGCCACTCCCAACACAGCACCAGAGTGATAAGCCTAGGAGGGCAAGGTCACTTTCACCTAAATTTCCAAGGCAGGATCAGTGCCCAGCAGAGCCAGGAGGGCAGGGCTGCTGCTGCAGAGCCGCGGGGGTGACAGCGCCACCCGGTGGGCTGGAGGGTAGAGCGTCAATTCAAAAAGGATTGTCCTCAAGCATTAAGATCTAATGGAATTTGCCTTATGAAATGTTGCACATTTCGGGGACCTGTTACCCCTTTTCTCCTGATATCTCCTTTTTGGAATGAGAATATCTGTCCTATGCTTGCCTTGCTGTATTTTTTAAGCATGTGACTTGTCTGGTTTCACAGGTTCACAGCTGGAGAAGAATTTTGACTCAGGTGCCGTCAAACCTCACTAGATGATATTTAGATTAGACTTTGGGCTTTATTTAGACTGTAGAGTTTATGCTGGAATGTATTGAAGACTTTTGAGGCTGTTGGGATGGAATGAATGTATTTTACATGAGAGAAGGTGTGAATTTGGGGGTGCCAGTGTTGGAATACTATGAACTGAATTATGTCCCCCTCCCCTCAAATTCATATGTTGAAGCTTAACCCCCAAAGTGGCTATGTTTGAAGATAGGCCTTTAGGATGTAATTAAGGTTAAATGAAGTTGTAAGGGTGAGGCTCCAACCCAATGGGATTGGTGGCCTCTTAAGAAGAGAGATCTTTTTCTACACACACACACACACACACACACACACACACACAAGGAAAAGGTCATGTGAGCACACAGCAAGAATGTGGCTGCCTACAAGGCAAGATAAGAGGCCTCAGAATAGAATTTATGTAGCTGGCACCTTGATCTTGGATTTCCAGCCTCCAGGACTGTGCAAAGATAAATTTCTTTTGTTTAAGCCACACAGACTATGGTATTTTGCTGTATTTGTCTGAGCAAACTAATACAGCAATGTAAAACACTTGGCATGTAGTAGAAATCAACTATACAGATATGCAATATGCATACATACTGAATAATTGGGAACAATATTTACCCCATCTAAAAGGACAAGCTGATTTCAAGTACTTTGGCAGGACTCCTTTTTAATTCAAATTATTATTAGTACTATATTATAAAGTTACATAATAATAGTAACATCATAGGGATATAGCACATTTATTGTATTTATAATTAATATCATTACTATTAATTTAGGTAGGCTTCATATACCTTAGCCCAGTGAATGTTTTCACCTTAAGGCTCAATATGTACTTAAAAAGCAATATAACTAGACTTTGTTGAATCTATGTAGTAATTTGTCGTCATGTGCGTGCTCCATCATGTCCGACTCTTTGTGACCCCAGGGACTGCAGCCCACCAGGCTCCTCTGTTCATGGAATTTTCTAGGCAAGAATATTGGAGTGGGTTGCCATTTTCTACTTCAAGGGATCTTCCTGACCCAGGGATTGAACCCACATTCTCTTGCGTCTCCTGCATTGGGAGGTGGATTCTTTACCAACTGTGACGCCTAGGATGGCTTAATAATTTTTCATTTTTACCAATTACAATAGGTCTCTAGTTTCTTTCTGTCCCAGCAGTCTCTCAACTTGATAAGTCCTTAGGAGTGTGAGTGCCCTCATTTAAAAAAAAAAGTAAAGATAAAGAAGGCTTACTGGAAACTGTGACTAGCTAGATATAATGTGTGAGCAAGTTAGATTCCCCAGGCTTTTATTTCTATGAATGACTTGGTGCCATATACCTGTGCCCCAGTATATGTATATTTATATGTAATAGTTAAAGCTCAAATTTAGAACACCCATTGTTCTTTTGGAATTTTTCAGTAATGAAAGTTTATTCTTTCACAGGTATCAAGGTTACATTTATACATACCGAGTGTCCCAGACAGAAACAGGTTCTTGGAGTGCCGAGGTATAGCTCTTTTATTTATTTTTGCTTCTGGGGGTATTGGGGAGCCATTTGACTTTTACATTGCTTTCATAAAAGAGCCATCAAATCCTACATTCCCCAAATATTCCTCCAATTCAAATCACTAATGCTCTAATCCAAAATTGTTCATCGATCATTAAAAAAAAATTTTTGGTCCCAGTTCTGTTCAGCCACCATTGTATGGAGTGTCTGACTTTGGAGGAAAGATAAGAAAGCTAAAGGATTGTGTTAAAAGTTTTAGTACCTAAGTGAAATTTTAGAAAGTCTATCAAAAATATATAAAAGAATCAAATCTACAATTATTTACTAAATAATACTAACACAAGTGGTTCTGTGGGGGATCAAACAACATGACTCCTGTTTTCTAAGAGCTTATAAGACCCTTGAGGTGATACCAAATGAATTCAACAGCAATGTGAGAGCCTGGTGTTTGCTGTCAGGTTGATCTGGGTGCACGTCTTGTCCACCCTCACCCCGTTTCTGAGAGGTCTCTGACCTTGGGTAGGTTACTTAACTTTTCTTTGAACGAGTTTCTTCATCTGTAAAATAAGGCTAAAAAGAGTCGCTTACTCATAGTATTCATTTTGAAGATTAAATGGATAATGCGTGTAAGGACAGCTCTTAGCCACAGGCCTAACTAGCAAAGCCCTCAACCATGGGAACTCACCCAAGTTGCTGAACGGCGTGATTATATACAGTTAAGTGTTACACATTATCTATCATGAGAGTTTGAAGAATAGAGGATTTTCCAAGTATTAGGGTAATAAGGCTGCTCTACTTTGGGGACAGGCTCCCCGCTGAGCCATATGGAAGGACAAGGATAGGTGGGAAGGAGAGAGAGGGGATATAGTAGCTTTCGAGCTATGCTCTGCAAAATCCTAAGGTCCTTCCATCTGGGTGCCTTGGAGTTGCCCAGGGGGTTATAGGAGGAGAGGAGAATGTGCGGGTATGCTTTGGGTCCCCAATTTGTCTTTAATCTGAGCAGCTCTTTATTTTGCTTAGCAAGTGGGGCTCTGAGAAAGATTTCATTAGAAAAATGGATTCTGATGGCTTTGAAAAATTTGAAAGTCACTGTGCCATTGCAAGAAATGCCTATAGAGTGGATCTCTTTCTACCTACCAGGGTAATATATTACCCTGCTGTCAAAATAGAGGTCTCTGCAATGGAAACTTCTGACTTCAAATGATTTCTGACTCTTATATAAAAACAGTCTGTCTTTGTAATGAAAGCACTTCATCATGAGCTGTTTGAAAACGTAAATGCTAATATCAACCTCTATTAACAACACATTCTATGCATTTAAGAAACTCTAAAGACTAGACTTAAAAAAATTAAAATAGCTCTTACCTTTAAAGATGCATCAGTAAACTAGAAAGCACAAATTGCACACTACAAATGTTTTGAACTACTGAGATAAATTAGGGCAAGTTTTCAAACACGTTGCTTTATATCAGGATAATTAATGCCACGATACTAATTAGAGGAAAAGCAGTACTATCTCTAATCAGAACTGTTTATACCTGTTTATTTTAAAAAATTCTCTGCATCACTGCAGAGATGGTTGAATAGGAAATGAAATTTCATTTATTATGAGGAATTGTAGCATTTGATACATACATATATATGTGTATATAATTTGACCAGAAATAGCCCTTCTCCCTAGAGAAGTAGCCTTCTGCTTCTGAAGAATATTCTGTATGAAAAGGATCTTAAATTAGTAGGGTTTAGCTAACCTTTTGTTTTAATTCATTTTCTTCCATTTCAAGTATAACATCACACATGGAGTGTTACATGTTTTTGATCACGTTAGGAAAGAAAAGGCTTATTGAACACAAATGCTCTCTCATTCTGTTGTCTGGTCTGACCCGTTAATCTAATAATATTGTAATTATCTGCACCAAGAGAGCAGAAGATTGGCATGTTTTCTCCAAAGGGAAAACAGTTAAAAAAAAAACACTCTAGATTTATTTTTGAAATGCATTGCATTTTCCCCTATCTACTAAATTTGCCTTCTTAGTTACATTTTTCTTAAGGTGAATATTAAACTAGTGTGTATTCTCAGAGCTCATATCACCTGACTGGAAGAAATTTCTCTAGAGCATATTGAAGACCAGCTGTGATCCAAAACATGTTTCCATGGATAACTAAGAGATGATAGTATGGGAAATGTGCAAATTTGAACAATAGCTGAGTTCAGTGACAGGATGGGAGATGTCAGTGGTATGATCCTTATGGTAAATGTATTTTCAAAATTGGGTAAATAACAGATATTTATATTGCTTTTTGGAACAATGCTTTAGTTTGCTACCCTGCAGGAAAAATCTTGACAGTAGCACTTCATCTTCTGTGCAAGGATTATGCTAGAAATCGAGGTATGTCTGCGATTTGTTTCAAAGAGTGGAGTAAAATTGAACCCTGGATCCACTCAATTATGAAAGACAAATATGATGTGAATTTCTCATTTTAGATAGAATTTTAGGTTTTATCGTTGCCCAGTATATTAATTTATTTCATGTGACTCAGGGTAAAATTTAGCCAAATTGTTAATTCAGAGAATTCTACAGACAGTCACCCATCGTTTATTAATATGTACATTGTCTGTGGTACATTATAAGAAATGTACTAACACCCCTCTGCTGACTTCAGTGCTTTTGGGCTTTTTTGGATGTTTGATCATCAGTGGATCAGTAGACGTTAAATAATTTCACTTATTGACCTAAGCAAAGCATTATAAATTCGGTCACTTATCTGCCGGTGCAACATTGCATGCCAAATTTCAATTGCTTTTTTACATCCCGTGCTATTATTCCTCTCTGTTAGCGTGGATAATCAAGGTTAACTACATATAAATCCCCATACAAAAGATGCTTCTGTTGATAAATGGTTTTACAAGCCACAAGAACAGGTGAAAAAATGTGTGGTTTGAAATCTTTCCATACTGGGGGAGTGTATAGTTTCTCTTCTGGTCTGTGACTCTAACCTCACTAGAACCTGTTTGGTCTAGTCCTAATCTGAGAGGAAAAGCACTGGGTCCTGGGATCTAGGGCCAGTTCTGCCTCTGGTTATCTGTGTGACTTGGGCAAGCTGAATTATCTCTTTGTATTTTCATTTTCTTATCTGTCAAATGGGAGTAACCAAATCATCCAAGAACAGCCAGTCTGTCAAATAGTGGGGGCAAGAGATGGGAAAGGGCTTTGAAAATGAAAAAGTACTCTAAGGAAGATACAAGAAGTTTATCTTGTGCCTACCGCCTGCCTTTGTCATTTGGAGATTCTATCCTGGAGCCAAGGAACTCTAGGACTTCTGTAAGAATCCAAGGAATTTTGGACTCCTGTAAGAATGGCCATGTTCTTTTGGATGAAGTTTCAAGAGAATTCTGGAAAGGTGTTTTGACCATAACGGTAGAGCTGAGGGAGAGAGTATTCTACATCTACTGAGTAGCTATGTGGGCCTCTGAGTGGACACTTACTTAAAACTGTTAATAAAAAATAAATAAAAACAGAACTATTAATAAAAAGAACTTTTCAGTGTTTTCAATGAAAAACTATTTACCCCGATGTAGGAAATGACCAAGAGTTACAGTGTATAGTGTACTTTCAGCATTTAGTCTAGTTGACAGAAGTCTGTCTGCCAGCCTTCCTGTTTTCTCATTAAACGCTAACAAATGAACAGCTCCCACCTCAAAAATTTTCCAGATGGAAGAGCTGAAAAACAGCTTTCTAAAAAAAAAAAAAAAATCTCGTCATTGTTCAATCGCTTATAGCAATACTATTTTATTTTATGTAAAATGACAGTTTTGAGTTGATGCCTAAAGCTTGACTCATAAGCTTTTGCAGGAAATTGTTGTTGATTTCAAGTAGTGTCTTTACAAGAGAATTGATGTCAGGAAAGGAGTACATTTTAATAGTCACCTGCAAATAATGATCCCTTCAAAACCAACCAGATAAATAAATAAAGGTGACCTCAGAGAGTCTTTCATTTTCATGTCATACAGAAAACCTTGTCAAGTGAAGTGTTGATGGAGGGAACAATTTGGGGGAGATAGGGAAGTTTCCCAAGCAGGAAAAAATTGAATGTGAGGGATGAGGCAGGACAGATTGTGGAGTCAGAGTATGAGGACTAACTAGCCCTGCATTTAAAATGCAATTTTAAATTTCCTGTGTAGCATTTTACATTGTGGAATGATGACAGGGAAAATGGGTGTTTGTTTTGTTTGCTTTAAAAATTTTTCTTGGTTCTTTAGGCTTTTTATTAATGACCTGTAGAATCTGTGTTTTTTCCCCCTGTTTAATTTCCTCCCCTCCATTGGTGAATTCATTGTGGGTAATGGCTTGTATACCCTTAGAGGTTTGGGATGTATGAAGGGTGGCAGGTGGGAAGGGCAGGGTGATGAGCAGGGGTTTGTACAAACAGATACCACCCTTGGGAGAACTGAAATGACAGCTCATTAGCTCCTCTTGCAGGGCAATTCAGCCAACCAACGTGAGCTCTTCTAGAATGTTGTTTTTCCTGCTTCCTTCTGTTTTCAAATATTTGAATAAGTTACACAAATGTTACCTCTCTCGGCATCCCTTATACACTTTGTAGGCCCTTTTTGTATAATTATGAGGTAGATGGATAATCTGCTTGACCTTTTATTTTCCAGACAGCACCTGGGGTACATAAAAGATTTTTCCGGAAAATAAAAAATCTCATTTCAGCATTTCAGAAGCCAGATCAAGGTATTGTAATACCTTTGCAGTATCCAGTTGAGAAGAAGCCCTCAGCTAGAAGTACACAAGGTGCTACAGGTATGGTTTACTGTCCTTCTTTGATAGGCTTTGGAAGCTCAGGGCTATGAGTAGACCCTAGTCATAAACATATAGTTCTGTAAGAAAAATACAAGCAAGGAGATCAAACCAGTCAACCCTAAAGGAAATCAACCCTGAATGTTCATTGGAAGGACTGATGCTGATGCTCCGGTACTTTGTCCACCTGTTGCGAAGAGTCGACTCATTGGAAAAGCCCCTGGTGCTGGAAAAGGTTGAGGGCAGCAAGAGAAGAGGGCAAGAGAGGATGAGATGGCTGGATGGCATCAAAGGACATGAGTTGAGCAAACTCCGAGAGATAGTGAAGGACAGGAACGCCTGGCATGCTGCAGTCCATGGGGTCACAGAGTCGGATGAGACTGAGCAACTGAACAACAAAGAAAAATGCAATGAGAAAGTAGATGGAGCAGACAGCCCAACTGAGGGGAGGCTGTTCCTATGCTATTGGATTTCCACATGCTATACTATGAACTTTTAATAAAACTCTGCAGAAATGTAAAAAATACTATGAGCCACAACATTTTCATCTCTCTTTTCCCATCTTGTTTTCCCAAGCCTGTTTTGTGGCTCCATAAGTACCATTTCACTTCACGAATTCAGACACAAATCATTTGAAATATAGGACAATTCCGAGTACATCTGGGCTTGTTCTTTACCTTTACTTAGCAGATAGTGTTCTCCCTTCAGGGGTGGAAAGGCTAATGTTAGGTTGGTCCATGTGAGCCTGATTTCTGGATTTGTGATGCTTGAATTAATAAAATTTTATTGTAGCAAAGGAAAGGAAGCTAGTCGACTTTATTATTCCTCTAGTGCAAGTTGTTAAATCTCTTGAGCAAAGCCGTTTTAGTGGATATGTCAAGCTAATGACCGAACACTAGCCAGTGTCCTCAGCTGTCAGATTTGTGATAGCTGACATCTATTGAAAGGGGTTAATCACTTGTCTGAAGTAAGAGGATACATGTTGATTGAAACAATAAATATTTATGATAAAATTAAATGAGTTGTTATTTCCGTTTTTGACAGGACCCAAGCTCAGGCATAAACTGACAATTAGACTCAAATGGTGAATTAAACTGAGTAGTTAGCTTTTTGAAAAGAAATGTAAATAGAACTCCAATTTACAAACTGGCTCAGTATTCTATTCTCTGTAACAGTTTTAAATACTAGTTGCTTGAACTAGATCATGGGAATGTATCTTTGTGAACTTTATGCAGTGGGAAATTTTATAAGTTTGAGTTAACTTGTAATTTTAATAGCTTGTAAATTTATCTTTCCTTGATTTTTGTTATTGTTTTTCTTCAGGAAGAAGAGACGATCCTGATGTCTTCCTGAAAGCACCATGAAGAAAAGGAAAACACACCTTGTACTTTATTTTCAATAATTTAAATATATGCTAAGTCTTATATATAATAGATAATACAGTTCAGTGAGCTACAAATGTATTTCTAAAACCATCATAGCCCTGTAATGGAAGCATCTAGCATGATGTTAAAGCTGAAATGGACTTTTCGGATAATGAGGAGCTTTGAAATGAGGATTGGGGAAAAATAATTCCACAGATTATTTTCAGTTATTATATTTACAAATGGGAAACGATTTAAAAAATAATGATACTTTATAAAAGATTAATGTCATTTCTTGCCAAATATAAATAAAAATAATCCTCAGTTTTTCTCAAAAGCACCATTTTTAGTGAAATATTATTTGATAGCTACTGATTTGAAAATGTCTTGCTTGATTATATGGCAGGAAGCTGGTTCGTGTCCTTCATCTTTGTCACGTGTGGTTCTACATTAGGTATTATGCTCTCCACTAGCTATGATGTTGTAGGCTCTTTGGGGATTTTTGAAGCTGTGCCCTGTGTGTTGAAAGGAAGTTCCAGATAAACAGTGAAGAATTTCTCTTTAATTCTGAAAGCAACCTTCTTGCCTAGTCTTACCTAGTGTTCTGATGTTGGACAGTAAAATCCACAGACCAGTCTGGAGTTTAAAAATCTTGTAATTTAAAATATACTCTAAATGTTTATTATATGTGATGCTATAGGATTTGAAATTATATTACAAATCCGATGAAGTGGGCTTTACTTATTTTTTCATTTACCTCTACTGCAGTAGTTGCCACTCCATGTAAAACCTCATTTTGAAAGGGAGCTTTAGCAGCTGCGGCTCATTGGCTGTGGCTCGTGAGCAGCTGAGTTACAAGCCGTCTCCTATGAGGTGACCAGACAAGACCATTAGAAGCTTACAGGTTACATTAATTTTTAACAGTTCCAAGTGATTGCAACCTAAGTGAGAGCCAAGATTTTACACAGTGTTGGATACTGGTATTTTCTTTTCATATTTATATTTTCATGACTCTTGCAATTCGATTATATGTCAAGTTGCTTCAGGGCTCAGAGAATTCATTCATTCAGCAAACACAATAGGTACCAGCGTAGAGAAGTGAGAAGACCTGGCCTCCATGGTCAGGTAGCCCCTTGCCTAGTTGGACAAGAAAACAGTCAATAAAAGACAATAAAGAAAGTAACAATAAAACACAAGAAAGTAACAATAAAAGTTGCTAAGTACATGGTAAGTGAGGGTCCCAATGTGTAGGTGGATCTCTCTTTTTTCTAAATGTTCTACTCCATTTATAGTTATAAAATATTGGATATTCCCTGTGTTTTACAATATATCCTTGTAGCGTATTTTATACAGAATAGTTTGTACAATTCCCTACACCTTTATTTCCCCTCCCCCCCCCTTGTCATTGGTAATGACTAGTTTGTTTTCTATATCTGTGTTTATATTTTTATTTTTAAATTCACTAATTTGTTCTATTTTTTAGATTCTATGTATGTGATCCCATATAGTATTTGTCTTTCTCTGACTTGTTGCACTTAGCATAATACCCTTTAAGTCTACCCATGTTGTTACAAATAACATTTCCTTCTCTTATATGCCTGAGTAGTATTCCATTGTATATATACTACGTCTTCTTTATCCATTAATCTGTTGATGGACAGGTTGCTTCCATAGCTTGGCAATTATAAATAATGCTGCTCTGAACATTGGGGTGCACATATCCCTCGAATTAGTGTTTTTGTTTTTATTTCTATATATACCCTAAAGTGGAATTGCTGGATCATATGGTAGCTCTATTTTTAGGTTTTTTTTTTTTTTTTGAGAAACCTCCATATTGTTTTTCACAGGGACTCCACCAATTTGCATTCTCACCAACAGTGTATGAGGGTTCCCTAGGTAGAGCTGTCTTTAAAGGCAAAATGCATTAATCCAAATATTTCAGCCTATAGTCCATAGGAAAAAGCTAAGTTTCTATGTAAACCAGTGACTTGGAATTCTGGGTTCTTCATGTGAGGTGGTGAGCTTGGTTAATTATTAGTGACCTGCTGAGACACAAAGCTACGCTCTCTGTTGGCAAGATCCGATTTCTGAGCATTTAACCTGGATGCCATGGGATTGCAAAGGTGGAATATGGCCACAATGATGTATTTGTGTGCCAGTTTACCATTTCTAGAAGTAAAAGCATCACTTTAATTTGTAAAGGAATTCAGAAAGCTGACTTTCAATATAAAATGCATATGTTTAAGTACTTTTTAAATATTTGTAGCTTGGGTTTAAATTTTAATAGGTGTAATTAATTTTTACCCTAATTTGTTCATTCTGGAATAATCCTAAAAGTATGAATTGTTTGCATGTTCCTTTACCAGAGTCTTTTTTGAAAAAACTTTTTTTTGAATCATCTATGGTTTATCCTATTTTAATAAAGTATTTGAAAGCTTTATTTTCCTAATTTGTCTTAAAATATTCCTTTCAAAAATATTCAAAGATAGGTGCTATTGATATACTAAATAAAGCATTGATGAAGGTCATCTTACTTCTCTTATTGGACTAATTCACTGAAAAAGGTAAGTGCTTTTCTGATTTTGCTACCATCAAATTTTCCAGTTGATGTGTCTACCCACTGTGTCTTCTTTTGCTGGCCTTTTATTCATTGTTTTTTTTTTTTTCACTTTTTCTTTCCTGGCATGAGCATCCTTGCTATTTCCCAATATATAATATCTTGCACCTTTACAGAAAGGTCATATCCTTGCCATATCTAAAATATAGCCATGCTAACATATACCTATAAGATGCTGAGTAAAGGCAGAAAAATGCACATATATTTCTACATGTACACCTTTCTTCAGGGAAAAAAAGTGTGTCAGCAAGCCCATGAGGAACATGACAGTTTATCAAATACTTGTTCATTTCCTCTGAAATTTGTTCTTAAGGTCAGTAGGAAGACAAGCTTAGATAACTGTCCATTTGGCTGTTGCAGGCAGGGAACCTTTGTGGTAGTACATAGGCAGAATATGCCTACAGGGGATATTAACTCTGATTAACTCTTCTGGTATAAATCGAGGGCTGGATTTAAGATACTATTTGTGGTAGAATGGATAGAGAATTTAAAATGTGAGAACCAGCTTTAAAATCTGTTAAGAATGTTTAGATGTCAGCTTATGTTTTATTTGATTCACTTTATTGAGCTCAGAATCCAAAGTCTATTAATAATAAAACTCAGATTTGCCCTTGAGCATTTCAAGGTTATAAGATGCCTGGTCTTCCTGTTAGTGGGCTATAAATTCAACTTTGTTGCCTATGTTTGCCCTTGCAGTAAATGGGACACCATAATTCTGCAGTTTGCAGCTCAGGGTGAAGTTAAACTGCCCAATTTGGACACTTTCATAATTTGGGCTCATTGGCCCAACTTTTAGTAAAAGGCTGGAATTTCATCATTAGGTCATTTGCTTTTTAAATGAATATTTTTATGTGGAAATAATATAACAAACCTGATCGACTGGAGAGAGCCCATCAAAGTAACAAATGAGACTTGAATTTGCTTTCTTGGCCTTGTCACTGATTATGCCAGTGATGTACAGTCAGTCAGTCTGTTGCTAGTATCGTATTTGCCAAATAGGAACAATTAAGTCTTGCTCCCCTTATAGGACTATTGAGATACTAGACAAATAAATTCATTATAGTAATATTACTAAATGTTTAAATAGCATTGATATTCAAAGATCTCTGAAAGTGAGGGTGACTAGGGAAGAAACATGGAGAAATCCCTTATTTCCTTTATAATTCTCTCAATGTACGAGCTCTTCTTTCTTTTTGAACTGAGGGTGAGATGCGTAGGTTGAAAAAACAATCTCTAGGTGATACTAATATATCCCAGCTACACTCCCCATCCCCATCGCTCTTTTTGTTGATTTGGTTGAAACAATCAGGATTGTCTTCAGCTCTGTGAATCTTTTCAAGGTATCTCTATATATTGGTGAATAAAAAAGCACAGGGCATTTGAGAGTGGTGTAAATTCCAGGATTTCAAGCAAAGTGCAATAACAGCCTGTTTGGATTCTATGTACTCCATTACTATCACGATGAATTTTGGAAAATCTGTTGGCCAGCTTTCCCAGTGTCACTCGTAAATGTCTTTTTGTGAAAAGTAAGTGCCAGAGGGCCATTGTAACTGCCCAGGACTTTGGGCCTCAGAAGAGTTGTTATTTTTTAGTCTCTCCTGATCGCCTTCCCTGGCCCATTCAATTCTTTGCCAATGCACTGGGTTGCCTTGCTCTCCTAGCTCCCTCCCACCCCTGTTTTTCAATCCTTAATTTTCTTTCTATTGCCGAGAAAGGCATCAACAGGAGGGAGAACCTTTGTAAGTCCTAGCCTAGAGGCTTTTAAACTTGAAACAGCTACTCTTCTTTTTTTATTAAATGGACATTGGTGTCAGCGATCCTATATGTATGAAAAATAAAAGTGAAAAGATGTCCTCTTACGATTAGTGCCTTTTTGATTTCTACACCTATATTTTCAAGATTATGCAGTTTTACTGTCCTGTGTTAGGGAGCCACTTTTCAAATCTCAGGTGACCAGACTGACTTGAGAATGCAGTTTGGCGCATGAATAAAATGAGACACAGTGTTCATTTGTCGTTTTATTTTTTAAAAATGAAATATTCAAAGTACTTTTTTGTTTCAAATATCAACACGTAATGTTTAACTTTAAATATTTACAGCATGTTGTTGTGATGCTCTGTAGAAAAATGCATGCTTCTGACCTGAAAGCCAGAGCAAAATGCAAAAGACCATTTAACTGCAGCCAGAGAACATGAACCTGTACAGTATCCAGTCACTTTTCAGCACAGGAGTGAGAGCAGGAATACAAAACTGGAGCCTATTGTTTCCTAGCAACACGGCTCAGGCCATTATAACACAATTTCCAGTATGATTAGAACCTCTAACTGTTGTTATATAGAAACTGAAAATCTTGGCATACACTGTAAACATCTTTACTTCTCAT